GATAAGGGGACCAATAAGACCCAGCTCTTCCCCCTTGAAGAACTTATGGTTGGGGGAGGGAGAAAATTTTCTCACATTAAATGGTCGAAACCCTTGCCTTTAGAGAAATAAAAAAAGACATTTGACCCCAATTTCCAGATGACAGCAGAGACCCAGAGAGGCAAGGTTACACAGCAAGTAAATAGTGGAGAGGGGACTAGAACCCAGGAATATTGGGACAGGGTAATGAGAATGGGATTTTGGAAATAAAATCATCTTAGTTTGTAACTCAAAAGAGAAACAGGTAGGAGATGGAGATGCCTGCAAATGGATCAGGGGTTGCAAATTCAGTCCTGAAGATGGACCACATTTTGCTTGTGCAGGATTTTCCCCCCAACATTTTATTATGAAAAATTTCAAACATATAGAACAGTTGAAAGAACTGTATAGTGAACACACCCATTGACCCACCACCAAGCTTCTACAATTGTTAACTGTTTGTTGCATTTGATGTGTTATATATTTATTCATTCATCTATTCCTCCATCTCTCTACCCATCCATCTTATTTATTTATTTATTTTTGCAGCTGGCCAGTATGGGGATCTGACCCCTTCACCTTGGGGTTATCAATACCACGCTCTAACCACCATCTTATTTTTTGATGCATTTTAAAGAAGTTGCAGAGTTCACTCTACCTCTAAATACTTCAGCATGCCTGTCATTAATTAGAGTTTTGAATATTTACTTTAATTTTTTTCTTATTTTTTGAGGTTTAATTTACATACAATGACATGCACAGATCTCATACCATTTCCTGAGTTTTGACAAATGCATACAGCTATGCAATCCAAACCCCTAACAAGATATTGAAAGAACATTTTCAACACTCCAGAAAATTCCCTGTGCCCCTTCCCAGTTAATTCCCTCCCTCCAGAGGCATCCACTATTGTGATTTTTCACCACTGATTAGGTTTTACCTGTTCTAGAACATCATACAAATAGAACAATACGGTGTATACTCTTTTACACAATGCTTCTTTCATTTGCATAATGTCTGAACTTATCTATTTTATTTTGTTTATTAATAATTTGTTCTTTTTATTGCTACGTGGTATTCCATTGTACTAATTAACATAACACAGTTTATCCAGTCTCCTGGTGATGGAACACACACTTTGAACTGGTTACCAACATTTTAGACGTGGGTTCAAATTGTGGCCCTGCCACTTGCTATCTATGTGATCATGGGCTGATTATGTCATCTCTCTGAGGCTCAGTTTTCCCATCTGTATAATGGGGTAATTTATAGCTATGGCTTATTAAGTGTTTGCCTGGCACTGTTCTAAGTGTTTTACAGGCATTAGCTCATTTAATCCTCACAGCAACCCATGGAGTCAGGTACATTACTATTCCCATTATATGGATGAGGAAACTGAGCACCCCACCTAGGTCTCTGTAAGTATTCAATGATATAGTGCATGTAAAACACTTAGGGTATGCTTTGGTAATTATAATGCAGAAAGTAAATGTGAGCTATTATTTTTTATTTTGCCTGGCTTTTCCTTGGAGGCATTTAAGTTTACTACCCACGATTGAGAAAGAGAATAAAGCCTTGGAAGTAGAGATGTTAAATAAAATACAGGATGCTGGGCCGGCCCGGTGGCGCACTGCTACAGTGCGCCGCTTGGGAAGCGCGGCGGCGCTCCCACCGAGGGTTCGGATCCCGCATACAGACAGGCCGCTCAGTGAGCGAGGTGCGGGAGCAACACCGAGGGTTGCGATCCCGTAGCCGGTCCCGGCCCGGTGCAGGCGCAACACTGAGGGTTGTGATCCGTTGCCGGTTACGAAAAAAGACAAAAAGTAAAGAAAAAAAAAATACAGGATGCCCAGTTAAACTTGAATTTTAGATAAACAGTGAGAAACATAATAAGTATGTTACATGCAATATTTGGCAAATATTGATACTTAAAAGTTATCCGTTGTTTATCTGAAATTCAAATTTAACTGGGCAACCCTATCTGGGACCAGGGACAGAACTTGTGTACCTCATTTTATAGATGAGACAACAGTCTCAAGGAAGGGAAATAATGGAGCAGCAGCCTCAGGTCTTAAGTAGTCTCTTGGGATCCAGATCTCAGATTTTCAGAAGCCCTATCCAATGTCTTCTCTCCTTTAACACACAGCTTTTCAAGGCTCCCCCTGCCTCTGGCAATTCAAAGCAGAGAGGCTCCAGGGAAGAGGGGGATAGCAGCATGACTAGGCGTTCTCTAGGGGAAGCTGGTAAGTGACAGGTGGCATGTGGGCTGCTGGGGGTTTTCTCCCTACTCTTTCCAGCTCTGCATCCCTGCTTCCGTCCCTTCTGCTTTTCCAAGAGGCCCGGAAACCCCCTTCCCTTGCTGGTAGAAGTCTCCTCAGGTCTTCTGGCCCCTGTTGCAGCAGGGCTGGGACCTGTCCTGGACTGACCTGGGTGTCCTAGACAGAGAGGGTAAATGTGGCTCAATGCTTGATCAGCCACTGGTCCTGCATTCAAACCAGGCCAAGACTGGGCTGAGTTCTGGATCAGGGAACCTGGGAGCCAGAGCCACACAGCATGGGAGAATGAGAAAATGGCCAGGTTGGGATTCCCTGCCCTCATCAGTCTACTTCTCCCTGGAGAACCACCAACTACCTACCCTGGATCTCCTAGAGTCTTCACATCATCATACTAGGAGGTAGAATCAGTTATTCTCCTTTAGAGATTTCAACACTGAGGTTCAGGTGACTTTGCCTAAGACTCCCAAAGCAAGTTGTTGACAGAATAAGAAACAGATCCTTGATTCATCTGCCTCTGACCCTAAATTATTAACTCCTACCCCCAGATCAGAGCTAATTTACCCTGTTGGCATTAGCAAGAAGGTTAGAATAGCATAGTCCAGTCCTCAAAATGTGATCCCTGGGCATCAGGATCACCTGGGAACTTGTTAGAAATGCAAATTCTCGGGCCTTGTATTAGTCTGTTTCTGTTGCTTATGACAAAATACTTGGAACTGGGTAATTTGTAAGAAAACAAAATTTATTGCCTACAGTTTCAGAGACTGGGAAGTCCAAAGTCCAGGGAACACATCTGGTGAGGGTCTTCTTTGTTCCTGGCTTTACAGCATCTCAGAGTATCACATTTTGAAAATGGTGGAGCAAAGAGAGAGGGAAAGAGAGACTGTCATGAATTCTCCTTTTAAAGTCCTAGAACCATGCACAGGAACAAGGCTTGGTCCTTACAATCTAATCACCTCTTCAATACCCCACCTTTCAATTATCATAGTAGGATTTCTCACTCTCAACAGTTACAGTGGGGATTAAGGTTCGATGAGCTTGGGGGTGGGGAGCATCCAACCTACAGCAGTCCCTGTCACAGAACTTCTTGACTCAGATTCCCCTAGAGTATTGTTTAGGGGTGGAGAAGAAAAATTTTAAACTTTTTTTTAATGTATAAAGAACAAATATACATACAGTTCATAAATAGATATACAGTGTGTGTGTGTGATATTAAAATTTCATGGAGGGGAAGATTAAGAAAAAAAAAGTGCCTAAAAATGCTTGTTAGGGAGCTGATTAAAAACAAACCAAAAAAAAAAAAAAGTCTTGAGAAACACTGTCCTAGAGCAGTTATTCCGCCAGTATGGGTCTTGCTTAAAAAAAACATGCTAATTCAGGCTGGCCATTAACTCAATTGGTTAGAGCAGATGTTGATAACACCAAGGTCCAGGGTTGGATCACTGTACCAGCCAGCTGCTAAGAAAAAGAAAAAGCAAATTCTCCCACCCCACCCTAGGCCTACTGAATCAGAAACTCTGGGGTTGAGGCCCAGCAATCTGTGGTTTAACTAACTCTCCTGGTAATTCTGATAAGCACTAAGATTTGAGAACCACTGCCCTAGAGAATCTGAATAAGGCAGGGGCCCAGGAATCTGTATTTAAAAAAAATTTTTTTTGGCTGCTGGCCATTACAGGGATCCAAACCCTCGGCCTTGGTGTTATGATACCACACTCTAACCAGCTGAGCTAACCAGCCAGCTGTGTATTTTTAAATAAGCTCTCCTAAGGCATTTTGTATGAAACATTGACATGGAGGTTTGGAAAGTACTTTGTGTAAGTAACTTTCCAGATGGTAAATATTATTTTCATTAGAAAGAAACAGGTTAAACAATAATAGCAAATGTCACTAATTACTGAGCATAGTCTCTACTTGCACAACCTATTCTCACAAACAACCCATAAAGAAGGTCAAGAGGATGGACTCTGAAGCCAGACTGCCTGGACTCTTATCTAGCATATGACTTCGTTTACACATCTATAAAATGGAGATAATAACGGGACTTCTCTCATAGGTTTATTGCGAGGATAAAGGGAGCTTGCTGATCAACTCTTAGAACATCTGACATGTTGGCACCACTAAGCCACTATCAACATCCCTAAGTGCACTCTCTTAAAAGGTAAAGAAGTATTTGAACCCAATCAGTATAACTCCATAGTGTACAATCTTTTTGCGTTTGTTTTTTTCGTTTTTTAAATTTTTTTTTTCTGTTGAAGTGTACATTCTTAAGAACTATGCTGTGTAGTCCAGTGGTTCTTAAATTGTGATCCCCGCCAGTAGCATCACCAGAGAGCATGTTAGAAAAGCAAATTATCAGCCCCTGTTTCAGATCTAATGAATTAGAAACTCTGGGGGTTGGGGCTCAGCAGTCTATGGTATAACAAGTCCTTTAGGTGATTCCGATGCAACTAGTGTTTGGGAACCACAGCTACAATCTTTAGAGGTTCTGGTCCGCGGGGCGTTAATAACCAGCCTGGAGGTGCTGGGAACAACTGATGAGTCCGTCTCACCACAGGTGAGGAAAACTAGGATTTAGCGGCACGCACCAGCCACAGCCGGCTTGCTCTTCAGGCCGGGCTGCCGGCTGGAGCGCAAGGCCTGCTGGGACTTGTAGTCCGGACGGCTCCCGAGCGGAGGCGCCTGCGCGTTGGCCACTAACTCCCTCTAGTCGCTGTGGTCGGGGCTCGGGACCGGCTGCCATCTTAGTCGAGGGACTGTGGAGTCGACGCCGCCCCAAGTCCCGGTAAACACCCGCGGGCGGACTGGGGGCAGTTCTGGGCAGAGGGGGGATCTCGGATGAGAGTGTCCGGGGAGAACGAAGGGTAGAGGAGTGCGGCGCGCGAGTCGGGACCCCAGAGCTACTGCTGCTCCTTCTTCCCTCAGAGCCGGTGCCCGTGGGGGGCGCGGGGAGCTCGGACTAGTGGCTCTGGCCGGACGGGGGTGGGTCAGCGGGACGCACGGAGCAGCCAGTGCCGGGCCGAGGCTCCAGGAGCGCCTCGCTTCGCGGGTTCCGAGTTGTGAAAAGGCTGGGCCGCGGCGGGCGTGGGCAGGGTCCGGCCCCGCGCCCCTCTGCCCCGCCCCGGGGCCACTCTCCCGCGGCCC